ATTAGGTTGTAAAACATCTTCGTGCAAAAATTTCAAGTCTACCCCTGTAAAAAGCTGCAAATCAGGTGATCTGAATTTTTCAAAATACAGTATCGAGCAATAATTAATAGCGATAGCAATACTATATGGCTATAATGATTTAAAGCTTTCTTTATAAAGACTAATTAATGCTAGTAAGTTGCTTAAATATATCAGCAGTTAAGTAATGCTACCCTTTAGGACTATTCAAATTTTCACTTTTTTATCGTTACTTCGAAGCCAAGTTTTAAAGCAGTTAATTGATTTTTTAATGTCAGATTCCTCAGATCCTCGAGCTTCCAAAAAAAATTCAGACTTTCGTTATGTATTTCTTCCCGTCATTCACTTAGAGTCTTTTCTAATTCACTGGCAGTTGGTCTTTGTTTAAAATCAGCATCTCGGCACTTAGCGATTAAATCTTTTAACAGTTGTGATGCTCGACTTTATCTAAATTTGGCCGCAAGCCTTGACAGATTCTTAAAATTAGATCTTGTGCATGAGGTTTATCATAATAAGTAGATGCGCGACGTTGTCACGCGAAACCAGGAACGGATGGTGGATTTTCAGATAGAGTTGTTTTTGTCATAAGTTTTTTGTTTGCTCAACTTTTACGAAGTTTACTTGCAATTTTAATTTAGATTATATGTGCAGTAGGTCGAATACCAATTATGTTATCTAGGTGGACTTTATATACGACTTAGATTAGTATTAATATGGTATAGATGAAGTATTCTTGTATGTATGTAGTTTTTTTCTAATAAATTATTTACTTTCGTTGTTATTTTATTTGGTACCTAAATTCGACCAATCAGAATGCTTTAAGCGGACTGACGTTTTATAATTTTAGTAGTATAGATAGATGATAAAGTTTATTTTATCGTAAAGTAATTTTATGAATCTTGCTTGTCATATATATTTAGTTTGCATTCGCATTCTCATCTCCGGAAGCAACGCTTATCATATAAAAATGTGATACAGTATAAGATACAGTAGGAATATTCATTACTTTGATAGCTTATTGACAAAATTTTCACACGTACAGTTTCAATTACAAATCTTATATCCGAATTTCCAATATGGCATCAACGTAGTGTATGCTAGTGCATAGTACGAACACTCTTTAAT